AAAAAAAAAAAAAAAAAAAAAAAAAAAAAAAAAAGACTTACAACACTTTTAGATTTTCTATAAATTATACTCTTTTCTTTATTTCAGAAAAGAAACAACAAGAAAAAAAAATTAATGCTTAACAAAAACATTTGTATTGAATATTGTATTGAATATTGCATTTGCTCACTGTTTTTACAACAGTTATTGCAGAGAAAAACGATGAAAAGAACTTCTTATTGTTTCTTTCTTTTTTTTTTTTTTTGCTTAAGCAATGCACTAAAAGCTAAGAAATAATTTCTTGTAATAACTTTAATGACTATTTACAAAAAAAACATGCAGACATATGAATACAGTTTTAATCTAAAAAAATAATGTTGGCTAAGAACAAAAAATTTACAATTGAAAAAATCAAACAAAAAAATTTTTTTTTCTCACCAAGGGCATTCAACCAAGTGTTATTAGTGTTCTGAATTTCACTACTTCCAATAAAGTACCATATACAGCTTAACCAATGCCCAATTAGCACAAATGTTGCCATTAAAAGCAGTAATACACCAGCTCCATATTCAGAATAACGATCAAGCTTTCGAGCAACTCGTACCAACCGTAACAATCGAGCAGTTTTTAACAGCCCAATTAAGGTTGTTGTCTAGAAGCAAAAAAGAAAAAAGTTTTTTCAGATTAACAAAATATATTAAATAGGTTTCAAGTCTAATTTGAAAAGACAAAAGTAGAAACATTTAAAAAAGAACTTTCAACTGTGTATTCGTCAAATATTTGGTATAGGAATCAGTAAGTGTGCAAACAAACCAAAACCTTTGATGATTTTTAGTTCGCAATAACTGTGATACTGTATAACGTATATTTATATACTTTCGTTAATGTCATTGACCAAAAAAAAAAGAACAAAAAATATAGGAAAAAGAAAGTTGGATAACAAACATTGATAGTATTTTAAAAATTTGACATTTCTTTTCAATTCCTTAACGACTTTCTTTTGGTCGTTTCCAATACTGTTCAAAAATATTTACTCCAATATCAGTTAACCAAATTGATACTCTGTTTTTTTAGCCAAAAAAAAAAATATTATTGTTTACAGAAAAAACCATTGACATATTTCAAATTTTATAGTTTTTTTTTTCGTTTTTCAAATTTAATAGCCTCTGTTGACTTATCTTGGTGATAATTTTGCATTGATAAATAGTTTTTTTTTTT